TATTATAATTTTCAGAGGCAGTGAAGTGTAATACGATACAATACAGTAAGTGAAGGGGAAGTTGAGCAGCACATGAATCATCTGTCGCAACAAAAAAAAGAAAAAAACTATGAATTTCTTTGCCGCGAAGTGAAGTTCCTTCTCGGCGAATAAACTGCCATTTCAAACAAGGCTGTAAATATTAATTAAGCAAATAAAACATCAGAAGTCTATTCCTTATCACGATGTATTGTCTTTCTCTTGGTTTAAATGACCAATTTTTCTGCGTATATGAATGTTTTCTAGGCCACAGAAATGCATTGACTGTCTCGTTGAGGATATGCCTCTCACCCCTGTCACTAAATGATCTGAAGATGCATATAGTGGTTGTCACTGTTAGAGCCCTGAAGCCTTTTTTAGGTTCCCAACGTGCGTCCTCAGACCACCATAGATTTAATGGGGACTTAAAGTAAAGTGAGCCATTTAATTTCACCAGATGACTGACTGTTGTCTTTGGTGGTTAGCCCAATGAAAGAATGACTTTTGTGATTACACGTTTCTCTAAGCTGTCCCTCCACCTACAGTAAACAGCTCCAAACTGGAATCAAGCCTGCCAAGTCATATATAGCAGAAAGAACTGTGTCTGCAGTTGTCTGTTTGGGGTTTGAGATCCAGCTTGAATCTATTTCTATGGACCACAGAGGCAAAAAAAAAAAAAAAAGGTTTGAAAATACTACCAAGCCTGTATCCTGCTGTACTGTGGCATCCTCTATGAGGTTGAGCCTTCTTAGCAAACAAAGCACACATACACACACAGACACTGACAACACAAAGGTGTGCCATGTCCAAATATGCTGTCCGGGAATAACATGACATAACAAATAATTTAGTTTCCTTTTCGATATTGTGTGAACTCTATCTCTGTGATTGCCATCACTGTGGTGGCTTCTTTTATGTTGTATTTAATGAGCATAGAAACGATTACTTTTTACAGATTGCTGTAATAACCTTTGCTCAAATAAATTAGAAATGAAAACATTCTACCACTTAATTAACAACAAAAACAAACGCAGTGCCGCTGGGTTTGTATGGAGATTCCAGCCCACAAGAACATAAACAACAGCTGAGCGTATTTTGGAAATATAAGGTAAATGTATAACTCATGATTTTCCAGGCTGGTCCCAACTTACCAAAATAGAGAGGACCTTTTGCTGATGAGTTCCCCCTTGTATGCGGGAGAGGTCCATTACTGTGGTGATGACAGACAACTGCAAGCATGTGATTGTAAGGATGCCACTGTGACACTCTGCCGTCTGCCATTTTTTACAGGCAGGAGTATATGTGCCAAAAACGCTATTCAGTGGCATTTGTTAGTCTCTAAACTACCGATTGTTGTCATGACAGTATAACTGCATGAAAAAAATACTTTAAAACAAAATTTCCCCCTCGTGTGACGTGTGTTTAGTGCTTTGCAGAAAGCTAGCTGAAGCTGCTTGTGGTAAAGCTCAGTGCCAAGTCGAACAGCGTCCTGATCTGTCGTTGTTGATCATTACTAGAGAATAATGCTGCAGGAAATCTCATTTGTCTTTCGAGCAGCAACAGTAGCTCCTTAATGACAAACAAATGTCAGACAACTGTTAGAGAAACAGTCTTTCTCTTTTTTTTTAAGATATTAACCTCCTAAGAAAGCTCAACTATTAATCCCAAACTTAAATTGTGCTGCCAGTGACTTTGTTATCCATCAACTGCTCTGTGAAGTGCCTTGAGGGAATACTAAGAGGGACTGCCACACGTCAATAACCAAACACTGTACCAGTGGCAGTTGCTGTGGCTTTTTCAGAAATAGAGAGAAGAGTGTCTTGGGGGCATATATAGATAGCAAATGTGATTCCAGCTGCCACTGTGGCATGGTAGTCTTAATGATAGGGCAGATGATTGAGCGTTTCTTCTCATATGCTTTGAGCTATGTATCATGTTGCTGTACCATTGTTCATCAGAGCTACTTTTGCTGTTATATGAAATAAACAGCTGATGAGGATTACACAGCTGTCATTCACTGCTCCAAGGGGAGCCTTAATAGCATGTGTGTTTGTGTGTGTGTGTGTGTATCCACATGAATACCAGACAGTGTTAAACAGACATTTTAATGTTGTTCATTTTTCGAGCACATCTATTTAGCACATCGTTCTACACGCGCTTCACCATCATTGCTTCTCTAGCAGTTGGACTGCAGACCTGCTTTTCTAGTTTTGCATGCTGTTCCTGTTGTGTTTGTTACAGAAACCTTGCTATGAAAACCCCCTTCAAAACTCTGGATTGAAACCAGTAAGACTCAGGTTAGACCTTAACCTTGAATTTGCTTATGAGCAAACAAATAATGAAAATAATCTAAGTTGTTGACACAAATGTAGTGGCTATGTCAAATACATAATGATAGATTCATTATTAGGATATGGATGAGGAAGCAGACAAAAACATACTGGTAATAACATTTGTGTGGATTTGCATGCATGTGTGTCAGTAGGAGTAATGGTGTTCAGAAATCTAGTAGTTAGTGATTAAAGGCCTACTGCCTCCTGCCTTTCCAAGAGGGTGCAATCTCAGTGATTAGACTGTCGACCACACATTGTGGAGCACAGACAGCTGCAGCTGGTTATCAATTGAACTTTCAGGGTGACGCTATCAAAACAGATCTCGTTGTCTTATTCTACCAGCTACAGGGAAAAACAATGTTATGGTCACACATCTAATTTTATGCATACGTGATGCTGAAATGAGGTTGTGGTGTGTTAATAATGCAGTCTTAATGCAATGAGTAACCACAGCTTTGTAGAGATCTTTTGTGCATAGTTTCTGCTGAAACTCATTCAAAAGCTAATATGAAAAAGTAATTGATTTTACTGTTTAGCCACCAGATGCTGCAAAGAACCACATCTGTCTGCCTTTGCTGAAATGTGTACATTAGGCTAAACTCAGCGTTAACTCTTTATTTAGGTTGGACGTTCAGGAAATTATTCTCTGAAAGCCAAAAAACAAGCTACCAGAAATGAGGGAAGTGGGAAGTTCATAGAGCACGTGAAAGAGTTGGGTGGGGGTGGGAGGGATTGGATCTATTTCGATACTCTCCAAAATAGTAGTGGGGATGCACGCTGGGACTACCATGTGATAGCATTCGGTGCTTTTGTAATCCATGCCATGTGTAGCTTGCAATTTCCTCCTTCCTAAATCTCTGAAGATGATTCTCATAATGAAAGATCAATTATTTGATCCCTAGCTTTTACTGTACTCTGAGGATCATATGGCACAGATATTGCCCTGTGGGCCTTGGAAGGGAATAAACTAGACTCTTACTAAACTCCTCCTCTCACTATGAAAGTGCAATTCGGGAAGTTTGCAAGCATAACCCTGATTTCAGAAGAGTCATCCTTTGAAGTTTAATGTACATTGAGGTCGGTGTGTGCAGACCATGTAGTGAGAACATCCAGTGAGAACATCTCTGTGGTGTCGGATTCACAGCAGAGCATTAACCACAAGCAAATTTCTATGTAGCTGCAGAGGAAATCAACTGGTTTTAGCTGGGCATGGTGTAGGTTAAATATTTAACAAAGGATCGGGCAAGGGGCAAGTGTAACAGTAACGAAAGCTCTTAATAAGTTATGAAAAGGGGAAAAGCAAAAAACCCCACTAAACAAGGCTTGTGTTACCATGCATTTTATGTGAATAGATTTACACTTGATTACATACGATGCTGTGGTGTAAAAATGCAAGTAGCAGCTTTTGCATTTAACATGGTTAGCATGGCTTTTATGACTTCCTCAAAATAAGCCCTTGTACGCAGCATCTCTAGCACATCTTAATATATAAATGTCTCTATATTTCTATATTTTATATGTATATGTATATTTATACCTATATTTATATTTATCTATTTATCTTAATATTTATGAATATCTCTGTTTCTACACTCATTTTATATGAGTGCTTGATGTTTGTTGTATATTTGCTGCTATGACAACTCAATTTCCCTCTGGGATTAATAAAGTCTCTCTGATTCAGATTCTCATATGTCATACACTCAGTGAGTCTGGTCAACATATACAACATATCTCTCTCTCCCTATATATATATATATATATATATATATATATATATGTTGTATGTAGGTATATTTAGAGGTATGTTAGTGTCAAACACCCAAAGGAATACAAATAGTACTGAAATTGGTGGTTTGTCTTCTCGATTATTTTGCCTTATTAAAAAACTGGCAACTTTTTCTTCTGCACAGTCAACTGAGACACAACATTTCTGTCACCAGTTTTAAGTTATTTTATGTTGCTCTGCAGGTCTTCTGTGATAAGGAAATTGAAAAACAATCTATCATACTAATAACTGTATATTATATTATTATTTATCATAATAATATTATATTATCATTATATTATTATTTCTGAATAATTGTTTTATAATATTTTTGGTAGGCTGAAAAAACAACTAGTCAGGTGACTGATAGAAGACAGCCCTCTATGCAAATGATGAGTGAGATAAATAAAACTCCTTCTGTTTAAACCTTACACTATTACAGATTGGCCTCTTCCTTTTTCACAGCTGTTGTTTTTCTTCATGCAGCTTTTTCTTTAAGACTGTTTTTGAAGCTCATTTTGGAAGGTTTATCTCTGTTGGACATTTTCATTTAAGGGATTTTTGACTCCCGGCTTTCCTGAAATTTGTTTATCCTTTCTTTTATTGTTCATCCAATTGTTCCTGCAAATGAACAGGTGATGTCATAATTCTTTTTTAAACAGGCGCACCGTATACATATTCAGCAATCCTAACTTGACTGTAAAACATTTTTGTGTCACAGCTAGAGGTAGGCTGAGTGCAGTGATGTCCAGATCCACAAAATCAGCCTCGAGATCTCGGAGCCGCTCGAGGTCCAGGTCAAGATCCCGTTCCACCTCCCGCTCCAGGAGTCGCTCCAGGTCTCGGTCCAGGAAGCACCGCTATAGGTACAAGCGATCTTCCGTTCGCAACAGCTTGTTAGCGGATAACATGCATTTGCCTTGATTGCTAAAGTTCCACCCTAGTTGCCAGATCTGTGTTGTTAAAGTAAAATTTAAAAACTCATTCTTGAGATCCATTTTCATCTGTTTTGTGTAGCAAATCTTATTGTGGCTGACTGGAAACACACTGTGTATTTTTGTGTATCTTTGATTGCCATCTGTAGGATTTAAAGAGTTTGGTTTTCACATGAATAGACAGAGCTGGTGGAGCATATTAGAGCCTTTGAGTCCTACCCAAACTCTTGAGTCAGGCTCTGTATCCACAGGAAATTAATATTTGAGAGTTCAGCTCCCGGTTAGTGAATTTAGTTAAGGTAGTCTAATATAATATTGCACAGTGGCATATGGGAATGTTTTGTACCACATTTCACAGTATTTTGAAAGGCATTTTGTGATGTGCTTTTATGTCGTGAAGCTTTGACTGAAGGGTTTTCTGCTGACTTTGATGTGCTTTCGTAAGAAACAGTAAGGCTTCAGTCTGATGCCTTTGCCGCTACTGGTAGAGTGACGCCTGAATGGCAATAAAATGACAGGCTAGCTCATTTCCTGGCAGTGTTACAGCTTGTATTAAAATTAGCATAAATAAGAGTTATGGAAGGAATTTAATGGTCTACTCTTCCTGAAGCTACCTTGCACGTGTGCAAATGGCTTTGTGGGAAGGCAAAACAGGACTGGAAAAGTGTGAATGCACACCTTTGTACAAGTTTGAAAACAACAAAAATGTAAATACAAAAACAGAAAAAAGCATATCCCCGCCCACCCTCTGCGCACACACACACGCACGCACAAATAAATAGTTAATTTCCTGCATGTTTTACATGGGCAGCATGTTAGAACAAGAAACAGTTGTCAGGTTAAAGAGCATTTAAAGGTGCAGGTTTGACAGTCTGCTGGGTGGAAACATGTTGTCAAATGTTGCCAGTGCGAAGCTTAAACTCTTTCTTTCCAACATTACTTGATCTTGCTATAACACACTTAGTAATTAGAGCCACAGTTTACAGAAGTACATGGTCTGAGCTCTCGCTTGGCCGATTTTTTACTCACTGACAAGTCATAGCAGGAAGCTGAAAGAAAATAATATCCACAACAATTTGGTGGAACAGATTTGCCATGTGTGACACAATATTCTGTCATTAATCCTCTCCAAACGTGCTGAAAAGCCCTTTTAACTGGCAGGCATAGAGTCAAAGAATTCAGGCAGTAGTAGATTTCCCACCCTTATACGGTCCATGTGACTCCCTGTTCCACCAGAGCTGGGCAGAGGAGATGCAGTATTTGTAGCTCGCACTGTGCAGTGCTGCTCATTGCACTGCCTCTGTATTCCAATGAGAAAGCACACTAGGTGAGTTACATGCTTCTCTTATTTCGTTTTTTTTAAAATTTAAGTTCATTTATCTAGTTTAGTATTATGTTTGCATGTACTTTGGCACAGCTTTAATTCATTAATCTAGACTTTTGCTCTGTAGCATTTTTTAGATTTTAAATTATTTGTAAATCACTTCATACTCTTAACATTTTAGGAGGGTGGTGGTGAGAAATGCATCCTTTATAAAAGCTGCTGAAGATGCAGTTAAATACAAGTAGCAGTAGATACTTTGCACTACTACTTTGAAGTCTGAAACAGTTATACTCTCAAATATGACAGTGGACAGCTGTGGACACAGTGTTGAAATGTACTTTTAAAAGCATGGTGTTCTGATTAAATTGCTGATTTGAGAAAACTGAAGAACAGACTGTTATAATCTGAAGCCCTGGTAAAAAGTCAAGGCTAGCACGCTGTGGGAGGCTTTTTATTGGAAGTGCAGCAACGCCACCCTGTGGTCTAATCTGACCTTGCAGTATGCTCCGCAACATGTTGTGTTCTCCATGTGTTATCATAATAACATATATTCAAGTGTTATACATCGTCACAGAATTTAAGGATTATTTTCAAAACATTTGTTTCAAAATATTAAGGGTTGTTATTATTTTCAAAATGATCCTGAATAATAGGAGCTGTGTGTTTTTTCTTCTGTAAACTTCCCTAGAATTTGAATAGTTATGAATAGATATGTCATTTCAATTTTTCAGACCAGCAATAAACGTTGTTTTTTTTAAACAGTTGTAAGCAATCATCCAAGTACTCCTAGTTTTGTATGTCATTGAGCCAAAGCAAATATGCTCCACCTTTTTCCCTTTTATATTAACCAAGCATCTGTCTGTCTCAGCTCTAAACTGTTAATTGTAGGTGGTTTATAGTTTCTGGTAGTGTTGTTTCACATAAGATCTACTGTTTCTATTTTGGAGGCAATACATTATTGAGAAAATGTATCTATATCAAACTCTGTAGAAATAAACGTAATGTTTTCGTTGTCTTCTTTATTCATTCACAGCTCTAGATCTCGGTCAAGGTCAAGATCAAGATCAAGATCTTATTCTCCATCCTATAACCGGGAGAAGAAATATCCGCGAGGTTACCAGAACAACCGGGACTTCCGGGGCTATCACCGCGGCTTCCGTAGGCCATATAACTTCAGGGGTCGAGGACGGGGCTACTTCCCACGTGGACGCTACCAACGAGGTGGACGTGGCTACAATAACAACAACTATCATCAGAACTGGAAGAATTTCAGGCAGCATCCTCAAAAACAGCAACAAAATCATCAGAAACAACAACAGCAACAACATTGGCAACAGAAACAACATCAAAACCATTCACAAGGACGCTCTCAGAAACACTGTGGGACCTCCCCTCATGGTCAATCTCACCAGTCCGACAAATCCTGTTCTCCTTTATCCAGACACTCGCAGCATTCTTCTGCCTCATCACACTCCTCCTCTCCTAAATGCAGGCCGGCCTCCCTGCTCGCTAACCAAACCTCAAAAGATGTGAAAGATGAGCAGCTGGCTTCCAAGGACGTTCAAAAGGGAGGAGAGGGAGAGGATGAGTCAGGGGAGCGTGTTGAGTTATTGGCAGGAGATGATATAGAAGGTGCTGGCGGTGGGAAAACTGAGGGGAACTGGAAAGGCCTGACAAACTACAGCAGCAGTCCAAAGAAAAACAGTCCGCTGGCAGGCTCTGCTGCTACTGTTGGTCAGAGCAGCCAAACGGCTAACCAGTCTAGCCCCACTAAAAACACAGGCATCACACCCAATGGCACCCCCACCTGGCAGATGGTGTGTGGTTCATCCTCGGCTAAAAAACCTTCAAATGAAGGTCTAAATCAAATCCTTTCCAGCTTTGACATCTCCAAAGAAGACTACCTGGATAGAGATAAAACAGCAATCTCCATTGCATTCAGGAAGTAAGACCAGTTTTATGTTTACACTCATGACAATTTTTAGTAACTTGAAACACAAATTGTTGTTTGGTTCTTCTGTTTGGAGCCTCACATAATGCAGATTGTGGATTTTTGGGTTTGATTTCATATTAATGGATAGATTAGGTTTTCCAGCAATATAGTTACAAATTAGTTAGAAATCTATTACAAATAAGTAGCCTGGCTCGGCTGTGTGTGCAGGACATGTAACAGAGTATGTATCAGAGCTGAGCAGACAGTGGTGCGACAATAAACAATGAAAAAAAGTCAACATGAGGCAAATGTACCAGAAGCCATTACAAATATACTTTTGGTAGTCCAATAATGGACAGCAGGTTCATTTGAGCTTTACTTTGGGTAAACTACACAACCATTTCATATTTGTATTTTATAAACTTTGCAAGCTTCAGCTACTGTATCCATTTACAGGAATTCTAAAGGTTTTCCAAGTGAAAACAACATCCTTCTTCTTCTTTATTTTCATTACTAAAGTGCTTCCCTGATAAAAAATGCTTATATTTCACTGTTATTTTCATTTTTGCAGCTGTCTCACAATCAGGTTTTCGAGTTAGACAGAGCTTTTTATCTCTTTTTCCTTCTTTAGGTTTTGGGAGGAAGCTAAAGCTAAAGCTAAATCTGCTTCAGAAAATGCCAGGAACGCAGAAGCAAACTGTATGGAAATGGAACAAGAGAAAGTAAATGGCAAAGCTTCTGTAGTTGTCTCTGATTCTGTATCAAGAAAATACAAAGAGGATAATGATGCTGGAGTGTCTCTGAACAGCTTTTTCAAAGCCTCACCATTTCTGTCTGCTGATGGGGAAGAAGAGGATGAGATGATCATTAAGCCTCAATTTAAATCACTTCCAAAAAATTGGAATAATGGAGAAGTGTCCTATAAGCCAAAGACCAAGGTCGCTCCATCAGCCCGAGAACAGTTTGAAGAGTGCTTTGCGAAATGGCAGAAGTTAGCTAATAGTGACAAAGATGCCACAGCAGAGGAGCTTTATCTCAGTGGAAAGCAGGATAAAACAGCAGCCACTGCCGCTGCCAAAAGGGAGTTAACGGGAAAATTCAAAGAACTGTCCCCAGACTTGATTTGTAAAGCCAGGAAGACGGCAGAATCTCTATCTATCCCATCTCCTACACCACCATTGCGGAGGAACTCTGACAGAGACACGTTTGAGGTCAGAGTAGAGGACCCGCCTGTCATGTCCTCAAGAAAACAGGAAGCAAAATTTAATGTTAGAATGGATTTCCTTGGAGATAGCCTGATAAGGTAAGCCTTGTTCAATAGGTTCAATAATTCTTTTTTTAATGTTATGTCATTATTCATTCAAAAGAAATTCAAGAGACTAAAGAACTTATCATTTCAGTTCGTCAGATATTTTAGCTGAAGAGCGACAGTTGTCTCAGGACCTTGTGCAGTCCTCTAAAAAGGATCAGGAATTTCGCTCCATCTTCCAGCATGTAAAGGCTGCACAGTTACAACGAAGTCCCTCTGAGCTGTTTGCTCAGCACATTGTCACCATTGTTCACCACATCAAAGGTGAGTCTTCTGTGTCTAAACCATATCGAGCGATTGCAAATCATTACCCTCGATACCCTCTATGATGCAAAATTCATAGAACAATCAAATATTTTGTCTTGACTGATTTTCAGCATTATTATTCACAATGGCCTCTTGAATAAAATGTGACGTAACCATAGCTTTTGCTTCTTACTTTGTTACCAAATCAGCTCAGCACTTTCCATCTTCTGGCATGACTCTAAATGAGCGATTCACCTTGTACCAAAGACAAGCTGCAGAGAAGGAAATGATGAAGCCAAGAAAAAGTCCAGAGATACACAGGTAGAGTCGCCTATTGAGTGACCCCTCTCACCTTCAGTGTGCTGTGGCTTCACCTCCTCTTTTAACAGCTTTCAGGTATTTTTTTCTCACCTTTCCTCCCTGATAATCTACAGACTATCTTGGCTTATTTGTTCTCATGCTTGGTGGAGGTCAGTTTTACTTTCCCAGCAGTTTTCTTTTTTTCTGTTTCGTGTTGTCTTTCCAGTTCAGTGTTGCTGACCGTTTGTTTGTTATGGCACGTGTCTTGCATTTCTTTTATCCCATCTTGATTTCTTTCTTGCAGGCGAATCGATGTTTCACCAAGTGCTTTTAAGAAACACCCTCAACTTTTTGAGGCGATGAAAAGCTCAGAGGATGGCACTTACAAGGTGACTGAACATTTTGACGTATGAAGTATATTGGAATAAGACAACTTCAAACAAGTGAGAAAGCCACATGCCTTTAGACTGCACTCTCCGAAAGCCCATGGCTTTCCTTGAAGGGAGATGCTCAAGTCTAAGAAAAGCAAATGCAAAATAAGGCACTTTGACTTTGCTGTTTGTTATATCGCCTCACATGGTGAATGGGTTGTATTGTGGGCACAAGCCTGACCAAGGCTAATGAATCAAATAAGGTCAAAAACGGAAGCCTCAGTGCCAAAGCTGTTCAAGGGACTCTAAGCAATCGTCTTCGTAAGTATTCTTTTAAAAAAATAAGGAACGGAAATAACCAACAGCAAGCACTTCATGTGCCTGTGCTTACGTTTACTTGCTTAACATTCTGAGTAAACACATCATAGTATTTCTTTATTGATGCGCATGGATACATCTGGTCAGCTCTCAAACATGCAGAGGAAATACTAAGTACTGAGTAAACTGAAATTAGCATGAACAATCACATGCCTTGTCTGTCACTGTTGTGAAAGAGCCATACTGGTGGTTTTGCATGTTTTATCCATGTTTACACTTCGGGGTTAGGGTTAGGGTTTCTGATTTCTTCCTGCCATCCATTGGTGTTGGTTCATGATACTATATGATAAGATATGACATGATTTCAACTTGTTATGGCCTGAAAGTTTAACAAACCTTTGTGTTTTGAAAAACACGAGTATGTGATGTTGCTGAAGTTTAGGAATTTAAATAAGTGAATCTGTTGCTGGATATTTTATTGCTGTTGAATAGATTGGATGGATAAGGCTAGCTACATGTTAACTGTGCTGAACCACCTATCTAAAGAAATTATGAAGACTTTTGTGACCAGGAAGTCATGTAAAATTTGATCATCAAAACATAAGATTTGGAAAAGTAGATGTTTAGGAAACACTAAAAACATGCAAAACTACTGGCTTGGCCTATTAAATGCACTCAAAATCCACTCAAAAATAGCTTGGTTTTATTCATGCCAGCTGGTTGTCACCTGGGTTTTTGCCCTTTTTCCCTGCACTTCACTATTTAGTTTACAAATCCGCTTAGCTCAGAGAAGACTGACAGCCCTCCACATGCTAATCCAAAGTCTATCCACGACATTGTGTTCTGTTTTGATTTTGCTCAGGATGGAGGGGAAAAAATCAAGGGTGACCCAATGGACCTTCGCTTGGATATTGAACGCCGTAAAAAATATTCGACCCATGAAAGATATTATAACGAGGATCAGGGAAGAGATGCGGGAGATTCCCCAGATTCTAGCAGAGAGAGATCTGTGGAAAACTTCCATAAATACCACAAGAAATCAAAGTATGCACAATTGTTTTGTACTTGTATCTACCATTATGATGACATAATCATCTTGCACTATAAACAGCTGCATGTAAAGAATTTGCTTGCATGATAATCCTTGTGCAGGAAAAGCAAGAAGAAGAAGAAACGTTCTCGCTCCACTTCATCCTCATCTTCCTCATCCTCCAAATCTAACAAAGATGAAGGTTTACCCCAAGAGAAACCTGATTCAAAAAATGGAGACTTTAATAAAAACCGACTGGGCCAAAGGGAATCATCAGGTTCAGCTGAAAGTGGACATCCACATGGAGGATTTGTAAGACCAATAAAAAGCTTGATTTGTTGTAATATCTACAATATAATGTAAAATTCCCATCATAGACAGTTTGCTATGTATCACTATGTATTGCATATTTTGAGCATCTTTTCTTTTTCTCCAATTATAGCAAGTAAGAATACGTGGAAGGAACTGGAGCAAAGGGAACTATCAGGGTAACATTTCACAGAGTAATCCTGTAAGCATGGTTGTACACCAAAAAAGTGAAGACTGGAACCCAGAATATACTCCCAAGAGCAAAAAATATTACTTGGTAAGGTTTTCTCATTCCTTATCTCTTTCCTTATTTTGTCAACCTTGATTTCTGAAAATATTTAGAGGCTGTGTTAAATGTAAACAATAGAAGCATATAATTATTTGCCAAACATTTAAACTGCACATCTAGTGAAAACTGAGGGTCTGAAAAAATGCTGAACAATACATACAGGTTTTGAAGCAATGTATGGTGCCACCCAGGCACCATTCTGTTTATTAATAGCAGCATGGCTCCACAGTAAACGATTCCCGGTGCTAAAGCAGCCTGGCTGCATTCTACATCTATTCGTCCGACATGTGGAGCATTATGAAGCCATGAATATGACTAAGGAGGACTAAACTGTTGACCAGCTGGAATTATATATCAAGCAGCTGCCAAATGCTTAGAATGGTTGTTAAAAGAAGAGGTGATGCAAATAGTGGTAAACATGTCCCTGTCATGATTTTACTACATTGTTGGCATCAAATTCAAAATGTGAAAATCTGTCCATTCAGCCATCCATCAGCTTAAACACTTATACCTCAGCTACACTGGGTTATAGACCTGCCAGTAACTTCCTGGCAACCACTGGTCACTGTGGAAAAATGTGCATTCCCCAACAAGTTAACAAGTGGTTGCTGGTGTCATTGTGAAATCAGTTGCTAACGACCCAATCATGCAGGCCTAGAGCAGAGTCGTCAACCCCTTAACTCACCAGGGAAGAAAATGTATCTTCTCTGGCTAGTTGGTGAGTGGTTGCATGCAGTCACTCAATGAAAGTAAAGGTGCTTTCAAAGAAGGCATGGTGCCCTACCAAACAGCTTTAGCATTGTTCTTATGTTATTGTATTTTGCACACCTCTGTTGCTTGTGGAGCTTGCACACAAGAATTTCACTCGCATGTGCTGTACCAGTGTACCTGCACATGTGATGTGAGAATAAAAAGTGATTTGATTTGATATTATGAAGTTGCCACGGTGACCTGTAATTTGCCTGCCAAACCACAAAGCGACTGCTAGCTGAGCAGTAGTGAAATTGTTAAAAGTGTAACAAAAATCCAGAAACATCTGACCCTTAAAAGGAAAGTTGTTCTTGTTCTTCAGGTTTGCATTGCTCTTTTTCACTACCACTCAGCGAGTAGTAACGAATGTTCAGTCTTCAATGCAAGTATGAGAAATTGCTATAGTCTGCTAGTAACCATAAGGGTCACAGGGAGATTTCTGGTGTAGTACCCTCTTTGTGGCTGATTTTACCTAGCGACAGCTAGCAGCCTGGTTAGTGAATAAACTGACTACTCTCTCCTTTGAATGGTATTTAGCTGATCATAGGGCTAACATAGATTTTTCAAAAAATTGTTTTTCAGCTTCAGCATTTAATGTGTTGAATTTGAGCCTTGACATATGTCTCTCACATTCTCCCACATTTTTAGCACGATGACAGAGATGAAGAGTCAGAATCCAAGTGGACAGACAATCGAGGTCGAGGGAGGGGAAGTTTAACTCGCGGAAGAGCGAGGTTCCTTATCCGCAAAGCCACTGGAGGCCCCAATATCATCTATCCAAAATGGGGCCTCGATAAATTCCAGGTCAATGACGAGCAAGGTGGCATGCAGAGAGAAGAGACAGAACAGGACCATAAAAGGGCAGAAGTTGATGGAGAGAACATCTGAGCAGCAAAGGAATCTGCAGAAAATCTTATCTTTTGTGTTCTCACAAGATCTGACTGAGTGATTTTATCCAATGGATCAATAAATGCAGATTAAATGTTTTAAGATATTCCCATGAAACATATTACTTTAATTTCACTTCTTCAGACTTGACACAACCATTTCCTACATCAAGACTAGTAAAAGCGCTGTTTAAGAGTGAAATGCAGTTTCTTGTCAAGTTTAAAGTTTTATGCTTTTGCTTTATTTTGGTAAATTAAAATCTCTTTCACGCAGCATTATATTAATATTTACACTTTTTTGGTTAGGATGGTTAGAAAATAACTTGCAATTTTGAATTAACACAAAAAAGAACTGCAGATTTTTGATCAAATCAGCTAGGCAACAAGATAAATTATTGTACTGCAAATATATTAAAATCTAATTTAATTTGCAAACAGTGACTATATGTTATGTTTTTCTGAGCTATGTCTCAGCAATAAGTATGTTGTTGGTGATGACATAAAACACCACAGTCCAGCCAATTTGGCAGAAATAACACTGATCTGACAATGGGACCAAACTGCACAGGGTCATAGATTGTGCCCTGCAGTCTGTCATTATAAAGCATACAACCATTTTACAGCACTAGCTAAAAGCCTTTTAACAAGCTTGTGAAACATTTTACTATCCGAATAGTAGCTTTAGCTTGTTTTTGGATACCACTTTAGTGTATAATATTGATATTGATTTTCTTTCTGCAAAGACTTTAATTTTGGTATTTGTACTTGGCCACGCAGGATTCTGATTGTAACAGAGAATTTGTTTTCACTGCTATAGATTGTATTGTCATTTTTATGTTTGCAAGCTTTTATTTAACCAAACAGGTTTTAGCAGTGATGCTAACTGTGTGCAACTGTTAACGCAATGAGAGAAGTAGTTAAAAATTTTAGTATAGAGTCTATCCAAGTTTGTAAAACAGAACAGGAATGTTTATTCTGTGCATATCAATGTTATTTGTTTCTAGGCTCATTTATGCAAGTACAAGTATACCTTGCTGTGGGTGCACTGGTCTTACTTGCGTATGTTATAGGCCTACAGATTAAAATTTTAAGGTTGACTTCTTAGGGAATATTGCATATTTTAAATAGTTGTGGTCACTGTTTTTGTTTTCTTAGAGACTGTAAATTAAAGAAACACTGATTACTTTGACATTTGTCTGTATGTGTCTTTAATTAAAAAGCATCTTTACAGTCTTTTAGGTTATCTTTATTTACCACTGTCTATGGAAATGATGGTGCTCCCAGGGTCCACACACCATGGGGCTCTTAAACATACTTAGGCTGGCTCATGAATCAATAAGAAGTACCTATTGTCGGTGTGGTGTAAAAATATTATGTTTGTGTGCTATGAGTGAACCACACTTTGCACTTTACTTTCATAATATTGGTAAGAGTGTATCAGGGTGGAGCCGATTTGGTTGTTTTTTTTGACTAAAGGCCAAAATCACCTGCTTCAGTCAAAGCAATCAAATCCCTGTAAATCACTGGGAGTTGAATAAACAACCCAGCCTAAAGCTACAGTGTGCCTGTGCACATCCCATTCAACCAAACACCTATCAACCAATTACTGTATCAGAGCAGGTTGAAGTCAAAAGTGACTGGATTCACCAAGTAAAAATTGTCAGTTTGTACTAATTGATTCATTTTTCACCACTACAGTGAAATAAAAAATATTAAGGCACTAAATATAAAGTAAGGATGTTTTAAATACTCTGGATATTTGTCATTCAATGATTAGGTTAATACAACATTCTTTACAAACAAAGCCTAACTCCATCTGCCCAGTTTCTTCCTATTGCTCATGGTGTTTTTGTATTATTTGGTTGCATATTGGAGCTCTTTATCACACTGCTAAATAGTGACTGATCAGATACCTCCCGGGCTTGGCTAGAGTGGGATATTCATCCAAAACGTTCCCTAAACATTTGAATAGTGTGCATCTCATACTCCCTATTGTAACTGGTCTAAGTGAAATCTTAAAAGTTGGAAATAATGATAACTTGACTTGTTTGGCAACATTCAAAATGGAAACTAAGGAAGTAATGGAGCTCATCTTGTCTGTTGACTAAAGCCAGTGACCTATTAACTGAGTTAAAGGAAAAGATAAGGGTCTTTGTTAATGCAACTAACTTACATTATATAAAAAGCAATCTCAGTATATTTTGGCTGTAACCCTTGTTTGCTGTAAATCTCCTGCCACTTAACATTATGGGGTAAAAACGTTATTATTACTACAAAATTATTACTACAAACACATTTACGGTTATGGTTTAGTTGAGTTGGTTCAACTTCTGGGAAAGCCTGAGATTATTGGGTGGGGCAGTACAAATGACAGTACAGCTGACTGGAAGTAAAATGCACTTGTGTGGCTCATAAAGTCTAACTTACATAGGCAAATGTTTTGCTTGCTGCACATTAATTATGCTGTCATTCTCATAAGTCTCACTTATCAGAGTTACTCTTTCACTAGAAACCTGTCTTACCTGTTCTTCTGCCTTATTTTCTCTCTCCTCCTTCTCTCTCTCTTGACTGTCTGACCCACTCCTACTTTTTGCTGTTGATTTAGCATGACTAGCCGCAGGAAAAGTTGCTCAATGTTAATGTTTGACAAGTAGGAAGAAGGTCCTTCGTTGCCATATCGAGCAGCGTTACACACACAGCCACACTCTTTCAGTTCTCCTTCTACTCAAAGAGTTTGTTTGCTGCTTCGTAGAGGGATTACATATTCAAATCAAAGGGAGATCGAATGAAGGACAACTATGGGTGAGTCAGCATTATCAGTTTTTTCTTAATAAACCAACGTCATGTCTGAGTATTTTGACTAACAGTTGCCTTTTTGCTGGGAATTCGTGGCAGTGGTAAAGAAAAGCTGCAAAGTACTGACAAAAGTTAATGGATTTGTATCTGCTTGAAATGCTCCTCCAAGAATTTATGTATTGTACCTGACATGTACAGGCATGCAAAAATACGAAACCTTACTCTACAGATACTAGAGTGTGTACGTTCTAGCTCTTGCACAGACTGTATCTACGAGATTTGTGTTTGCTAAACAATTAGAGAAAACCTGTTTTTACATACATCCAAGATAACAATGCCACACTTTCAGTTCTTTTAAGAATCTCTAAAGTTCTCTTTATATTCAGGAAAATAGTGACAACACGAATAGTTGTTTCACTTCTCTGTGATAAATGAAAACTAAGCATTTTAGCTGTAATAATCCACATTCAAGCTCATATTTGTTTCTAGCCTCCACTGCTTAGGGGTTTGTCTTGGTTTTTTAAGATGTCAGGACACATCACTTGTGAGACAAGTTACACCAGCCTTTGTCCAAAGAATCTAATTTTCTGCCCCATTTACGGATGCGCTGTAGAGGTGCTGGTGCTAATCGACTTTGAGAGCAACTCCGACGACGAGCTCACAGTGAAGGAGGGGGATGTGGTCAAAAATGTCACCAAGGCCAGTGAGGAAGGATGGCTGCATGGGGAGCTGAGAGGGAAGAAAGGCATCTTTCCTGCCAACTTTGTCCAGGTCTGCCAAGGCTTTACTGTCCACAGTACTGTACTATTTGCTATGGATATATTTGTGTTCATCTACATTGCGTGCAACATGTGTAAAATATGACTTACTTGGTTTTAACAGGAGGTCCCAGTCTATTTGAGAGGAGAGAGCAAGATGGAACCACGAAGCATTAGAACAAGTAAAATGCAGAGTTTGAATTATCAGCACTTTCTGTTCTTTAGTGGCAGACGCTTTAATCAGAAAGCATTTAAAGCAGTTTTTAAAGATGATTTAAAATTGAAACCCAACGCAATTATGAAATGACTTTGCTTTCCAAAAAAGGAAAAAAAATGATAGAAAACTAATGAATAAATGCAATATTCACTTCAATATTAATTCAGTTGTACAGCATCAACAGTTGCCTCAAGGTGCTTTATATTGCAAGGCAGATCGTACAATAATACATACAGACAAAAAACCCAACAACCATATGACCCTCTATGAGCAAGCACTCAACAGTGGGAAGGAAAAACTCCCCTTTAACAGGAAGAAACTTCCGGCAGAACCAGGCTCAGGGAGGAGTGGCCATCTGCCGCGACCGGTTGGGTTAGAGAAGGATGCACATTACAATTAAAATATGAGCAACTGCTTTGTTGTAAAATAAAAGGAATTTCTAAAACACTGCTATCACTAACTTAGAATAGTCCAATTGTGTGCAAAAGATCCAAATTAACCACGCTGGTAATGCAGCGTCATTTAAAACTACTCTAACTAAGGTTCCTGCTAAAAAAAAATGACTCTTGGTACAAAACGAGCCATCACAGCAATACAGTAAAAATACTTATTACAATAATATTCAAAACAGGTTGCTCTTGACATTTACCACATCCTTGCAATGCAAAGTATATCTAATTCAGCTGTAGAGAAAAAAAAATTGGACTTTGTGGGAACAGACATGCTCAGAACGTGAATAATTGCTCCAAGCTATGCAATCTTAGCACTTTCCTGTTGAAACTTGATAACAATGCTTTCTAGCCCAAAGACACTGTTAAAGAGCTCCAAGTTTTTCATTAGAAGAACATTATGAACTTTACTTTGTCTGACAATTCTTTCTTTTTTTTAGCAAAGAAGAAACCGACAAGAAAATGTGAGGTACTGTTTCCCTACAGTCCCGTGAATGAAGACGAAATGGAGCTGGTTGCTGGTGAGACTATAGAGATCGTCAGGGAGGTACAGTTCTTATCACCCTTATGGTTTTCACACTTATATCTGGCCTCTAAATACCAAACTGTGAGTCAAATGTTAGCAGTAGATTATGGGCTTAAAATAACTAGGTTGTGGCTGGTGAAAAGAAATCTCTGCCATGACATGATAGTGAATACCTGATAGCAGCTGCTGAGAAGTGAGGCATTTTCCTGTCACTTCCTGAAGCTGCCCTGTAGTCAGAACCCTGCACTATAGCGATGATATGTAAATCAGGGTGTTGTCGATGTGTTTGCTCAGCCTGAACCTCTTTGGGTAAATAAACAAAGATTTGAATATGGCTTTATTTGATCGATTTCTTTTTATTTATAATTAAACTCATAGTTCACAGCAAGCATACGTTTTCTGAAATCCCATGTGAACTGATCAGACTAGTCCTGGCAGTTCTGAGGATCATTCGTCAGACACCTTAAACAGGCCGATCAAGTATCTGGAATGCACCACAAGATGATATTTCATGTAAACCTAAGGTGGTAATGCAGCTATTTACTTGTAATTTTACATATTTTTAGCTTAAGCGATGTTGAGTAGTAGTCAAGTCATCTTTTTTTAAATAGCACATTTAAAAGACATCAAGTGTCAGCCAAAGTGCTGAACAGACGGATAATATAATCAAATAAAATGAATTAAAACAGATAAGATGGTTGTGGGTCTGATGGCTGACTGTATCCACAATTTACAAGAAATCTAAGAGTATTGTACCGATTTCAGTAAAATAATATAAATTTTTCTGGGTTATGGCTGTTAGCAAGTCTCCTTGACTTCTCAGTAGATTTTAGTTTTCTCATTAATTTGTTTAATAGCGCCAACCAATGACAATAGAGATTGTAGAACTTGTTTTTCTGTACAATATATAATAACCTGTGAATTTTGATGGCTCATGACCTACTTTGCATGACAGATTGAAGATGGATGGTGGATGGGGGTGAAAAATGGCAAACTAGGAGCATTTCCATCAAACTTTGTCAAAGAAATTTTCATTTCTCCCAAAGGTTGGTGGCAAAGTCAATTAACAGAGTTTTTTATAGTTTCATTTTTCATATATAACTTTTAACATTTTTCATCTGAACAGATGTAAAATACAATGAGGGCAAGGCAAGACCAAAACTCACTGACGCTGTGTTCAATAAGGAGGTTTGTAACAGTGGAAAAACTTTTCTTAAATATGTATGAGCTGTGTTCCTTTTACTTAATGCTGTCTTTGTTCCCATTCAGATAACTCAGAGGGCAAGTGTTAGGAACAAAGCAAAAAAATGTAAGTTCAGAGTTTTATACATTTACATCACATGCTAGCTTTCTCACATGAGACACTGGTTCTATTTCTGAACAGCATTTTAAAAGCTGCTAGACTAGTATACAACGTCAGTAGGACAAGTGGTAAATTCTTGTACTTTTACCTTTATGGGTGGGGTCAAACCAAAATACTTAACAGCAATATTCCTTGATTTACTACTTCACAAAGACATCAAAGTGAGCGATCTTCCAGGGTTAAAGGTTTATAACTTACCTCAAGTATTACAGTCTTTTGTAATCTTTGCTGTTCTTTGATTTAGTGTTGTTTCAGGGTGGATAAAATTAGTCATCACTAGTGAAACCTCCTCACTCGTACGACAGTTTCTGCAAAGTTAATAATCATGTTATCTCTTAACACCGTATCTCCTCAGCTATAGAGTGTTGCAAAGTCATGTTTGACTACAAGGCCAAAACAGAGGATGAGCTGGAGCTGAAAAAAGGAGATGTTGTTAAGATACTGAACAAGGTTTGAGCACACTTCTTTATTTTTTTATCAGCTGTTCTATGCTGTCACACTTATGACAGACTAATAAATTCCCCTGGATAATTTGCTTTCTTAAAATGTACCATATGGTTCTTCCAGAGAAACCAGTTGTGTCACTTTCAAGACTGACTAGGCTTAAGGACAGAAATGTGGCACTCCAGACATGCTAAGGAAAAAATATTCGAGATAGCTACTTCGTGTTGACACGTCGTGATCTGCTTGACTTTTTGATGACCTTAGGTTCAGAGATTTCAGATCCCTAAGGACAGAAGCTTGTTTTAACCTCTCTCAAATGACTCTTTAATCACCATCTAAAGGAAACAGCAGATGAAGGCTGGTGGGAGGGAGAGCTAAACGGCCGGTGCGGCTTCTTTCCTGATAACTTTGTCATGGTGATTTCACCGATAAACAGCTTGCAAGTGAGTGGACAAAAACACAATCTCAAACATAACCCTGTTGGACTGGAGTTTAACTGCACTGCAATGAAACCATGGGCATGCTTCGGAGTAATTGATGCTATGCATACTTTTTTGTCATTTTAAAATGTCCTTTAAAAATAAAATACATTATGTCTATTTTAGCATGTCTGCAACCAGTATTCAGTGACTCAGTACTGTCTTTAAACACCGTCTGCTTTGGAGTTACTCACTGAAATTTCCCATTTGTGGAAACAGTGTGTAGAATATGGGGCAGAGTACAAGGCACATGGAGTACCAAAAAACTTACTTTTCATTTCTTTTTCCTCCTGTAGACGGGGACCATAAGCCAACCACCTGCACGTAACAACTCCAAGAAACTCTCAGGTAAGAGAACAGCATGAATGTTTCCCTGATCAAATAAAGAAGCACAGTGGTTGAAGCTCTTTGAAAGTATGATGTGGAGCTTGACATTTAGAGGTTCACGACCAAGTCGGAATTTCTGACTGCAGCAGTGTTTTGCTTGGCAGTGTGCTGACTGTTTGGCCTGTGATGGGTTAGGCAGGTCAACATTTACACAGTTACATAATAATTCAATAAAATATAAAAGTTTTTGTTTTTTTAAAAATTATTATCTATGAGAAAATAAAGACGTAGAGGGAAAAAAATACCCTGAAGTCAGAGGAACTATTTGAACATTTCTTGAGATTACATGCATTCCACATAGCGATTTATCAGACGCCCTAGTAACATTTACAGTAGATATGAAACGTTTTCATCTTGTGACCATGTAAAGGAGGTTAAACAGATTTAAACACTCTGCCCTGTAGCACACAGCATAAACTCTCTAACCCACAAATGGGGCCACGCAGGGAAAACTCATCACAAAGAAATGCAAAAGAGCAGCAAATCCTGGCAACCTGGATCCTGATTTTTTTTTT